TGGCAGGTTCTTATAAAACTAACCAAACTCTTACCACACAAATCCAGCAATCATGGTCCTTGGTATTTACTCAAAGGAGCTGAAAACTTATGTCTATACAAAAACCTGCATACGGATGCATATAGCAGCTTTCCTCATAACTGCCAAAACATGAAAGCAATAGGATGTCCCTCAGCAGTGAATGGATAAACTATGGTACATCTAGACAATGGAATATTATTCAGGGCTAAAAAGAAATGAACAGTCAAGCCATGAAAAGGCATGGAGAAACTTAAATGCATATTACAAAGTGAAAGAAGCCAATCTGAAAAGACCACATACCATATGATTCCAGCTACATAACATTCTGAAAAAGGCAAAACTATAGGGACAGTAACAAAACCAGTGGTTGCCAAGGGTAGGGAAATGGAGGGATGAATAGGCCAAGCACAAAGGATTTTTAGGGCACTGAAAATAATCTGTATGATGCTTCAATAGTAAATGTATATCATCATGCATTTGACAAAACCCATAGAATTTAAGACCAAGAGTGATCCTTAATGTAAACTATGGACTCTGGGTGGTAAGGATGTGTCAATATAGGTTAATCAATTATAACAAATGTACCACTCCGGTGGGGGATGTTGATAATGGAGATACTATGCATGTGTCGGAGGCAGAGGGCATATAAGAAATCTCTACCTTATGTTCAATATTTCCACAAACCTAAAACTGCTGTAAAAAATAAAGTCTATGAAAACACAAACAAAAAATAGGCAGCCAACTGGACGTGGCCCACAGGCTATATATAGTTTGATGACCTGCTTTTAGAGTATGTTAATCCTGCCTCAGGAATCAAAAAAGTTCTTGTGGCTTCTGAGATCCACAAACCTCTTCTTCCCAGTCTGGGGAATCTCACCTTAATTATAGGAAAATCTTCCTCTGTCCTGTTATTTTTCTCTTAGAGATATGCCATTTCTCCTCTATTTCCACGACACCAGTTTTAGTCTCCTCAGGTGACTTCAGCTTTGGAAATTCTCATTAGAAAGGAAAATACCCTAGCCATTTCTGTTTTGCATAATACGATTGTGATCTAGTCACTGCAGCTCTCTGTTCTCGTGTCAACATTGGGAATAAAAATGATACCCATTTTATAAGGTGCTATGAGAATTAAAGTAGTTCCCATTTAGAAAGTAGTAAAGTACTTAACATTCAGAAGATATTCAGCCATCAGAAAAGATGAATACCTACAGTTTACATCATCATGGATGGAACTGGAGGGGACTATGCTAAGTGAAATAAGTCAAGCAGAGAAAGACAATTATCATATAGTTTCACTCATATGTGGAACATAAGGAATAGCACGGAGGACCACAGGGGAAGGGAGGGAATACTGAAGGGGAAGAAATCAGAGAGGGAGACAAACCACGGGAGACTCTGGACTCCAGGAAACAAACTGAGGGTTACAGAAGGGAGGGGGGTGGGGGGATGGGATAGTTGGGTGATGGTTATTAAGGAGGGCATGTATTGTGATGAGCACTGGGTGTTATACGCAACTAATCAATCATTGAACACCACGTCAAAAACTAATGATGTACTATATGTTGGCTAACTGAATATAATAAAAAAAAATCTTTAAGATCTTCAATAAATTTTAGTTACCATTTTTACATTTATGCTGTTCCATACACCTCTGAACAAAGGAAGCACTTAATCTTTTACTTGCATAAAAGAAAAAGGAGATAATACAGGGGAGAAATATGTTTTAAAAACCTCAAAAGATTATCCTGCTATAGAGAGTTGACACAACAAAGCACTGATTAGAATGGTGGCTAGAATGTTATTTAAGATATTTGAGTGACTGTAACAATAAGATCAAAGACACACAATCTCTGGGGCACCTGGGTGTCAGTTAAGCATCCAACTCTTGATTTTTGGCTCAGGTCATGATCTCAGGGTTGTGAGATCGAGCCCCACATCAGGCTCTGCACTAACAGGGCATCTACTCTCTGTCTCTCTCTGTCTCTTAATCCCCTTCTCCCTCTGCCCCTTCCCTCTCTTTCTCCCTCCCTCTCTAAAACAACAACAACATACACAATCTCTAGGCAATTCATCAATATTCTCATGTTTGCCTGTGGACCAAGAGAGGGCAATATGGAGACAATGGAGAGAAACTTGACAAGAAGTCAGTAACCACCAGCCACATCTTCAGGGAGCAGGCAAAGGGTCAACACAACCTTCCAGCTCACCATTAAGAGAACTTAGCTGGATTCAACAAAGCAAGGGCGGTTGAATATAACTTTTACTATCACCCGTCACAACAGCTAATAAAGAGCCATACAGCTGAGCATTAAATCCCACCCAAAGAGGGTGTGGGCCATGCATCCTTCTTGAAACAAAAGTTTATTTCAACACAAAATTAGCATATATATAATTCTGGCTTTTCCTACTTGTTCATTGAGAAGCAAACCCTAATTTCCTGACCTAGGAAATCAAGCATATGAGATTTCATATTAAAATCCTAGTTTTCTACATTTTGAAGAAATTTAACCTGTGGACTTTTGAAAATACATGGTCACTTTTATACACACTAAGTATTGGCAGTTCTATGCACAAAAGGTGAATTCAGGGTGCCTGGGTGGCTCAGTCAGTTAAGCGTCTGTCTTCAGCTCATGTCATGATCCCAGGGTCCTGGAATCAAGTCCCACCTGGGGCTCCCTGCTCCTCATGGAGTCTACTTCATGCTCTACCCCCACCCCCACTCGTTATCTCAATCTCTCTATCTCTCGCTCTCAAATAGTCTTTTTTTTTAAAAAAAAAAAAAGGCTAATTCAAACTAATGCTATCCCTATTTTTAGTTTGTTTACTTATTTTTAAGTTACTATTAATTAAATGGCTTTAATTGCAAATAATACACATTAATCCTTGAACAACATGAATCTGAACTGCATGGATCCATTTATGAGGATTTTTTCAATAAATATATTGGAAGATTTTTAGCAATGAAAAAACTCAAGAGACAAACCATGTAGCCTAGAAATACTGAAACAATTAAGAGAAAGTTAGGTATGTCATGAATGCATAAAATACAGATAGATACTACTCTATTTTATCATTTACTACTCTAAAACATACACAAATTTATTGTAAAAAGTTAAAGTTTATCAAAAGTTATGCACACAGACATGTACAGACCATACTTGGTGCCATTCACTTTTAGAAATGTAAACAAATATAAAGATGAAGAATTCAATCAACTGCATAAAATTAACTACAGTACATACTGTACTACTGTAATAATTTCATAGCCACTTCCTGTTGCTATTGCAGAGAGCTCAAGGGTTGTAAGTATCTGCTTAAAATGCCGTGTGACACCAATCATCTCCGCCTGAGCAGTTCATCTCTCTCGTAAATTGCACATGGCAGTAAAAAGTGATCTCTCCTGGTTCTGCCTATTAGCAGCTAAATTTTGGGGGAGTCAAAAGTTATTCATAGATTTTCAACTACACTGGGCAGGGGGAGGCAGAGCCCCTAAACCCTGAGTTGTTCAAGGATCAACTGGATGTACTTTGTGTCACAAAATGTCTTATACATACATTTCATATCTAAAAACTTCCCCACATAAGCTTAAGAACAAGTTGAAATTATGAAAATAAAATTCATATTCAGATTACCAAGATACAACCAAATATATTTTAACACACTGAACAACTGAAGATTGTTTTAGTTAACTATCTTTTAAATATCTAAATTAAACCATTCTGCCTATTCATTCCTTTATTTTATTAACAAAGCATTGTGGGGGTATTTATTGGGAAGCAATGGTGAAAACATCTTCTGTCTCCTTGCCTGGCATCACTCAAACTTTTAGCTTTTGGAACATTAAATTTTCAATTCTAAGTTCAGTCTTATATCAGATGCAGGAACCAATTTTGTACCATAAACTCAAAGCCCCAAAGTTTATTATCAAGTCAGCCTATATATGGCTGTTCATAGTAGCACCTAGATTTCTCTTTTTACCTGAACATCTATTTGGTTTCTTGAATTCCAAATATAATAATTAGTTCCTTACCTTTGGCTCAGACATCTAAAGTAGGATCTTGACTCCCTTCTAGAAACCTTTTCTCCTGACCTGTCCAACTCACTAGCTAAGATTTTTGCTCTGTTTAAAACTCAGCTTCATGCCTTCTTTTAAGGTCTACTACTTCACCTGTTCAGGACTGTAGAGCCTTCTCTTCTCCTGCCCCTACCTTATCCTAATTGACACATCTACTCCTAACTAAGCCTCAGTTCTGATAAGTTGCAGGATATAGTTCAGATGTTAGCATAAGTCATGGATATGCAAACTTCCATAGCTAGGAAACAATACATGTATTAATTTGGGGTTTGTTTGAACTTATGTTGTCAGGAATAAACGCTAAAGTAAAATGCTTGCTGATGAACATCCGTAACATTGAAAGAATGAAAATGACTTTGAATTTCCTCAAATTTGCAAGTTAAGATACTAACTTTCACATAAACTAGCCCAAATTATTGTCAAAATTAAATGATCTTGAATGCATGTGATCCTTATTCAATTCATCTAAGGAATTGTTGAAATTGTTGATGACACCTATAGTATCCATATTAATTGTTGATATTCCCCTCCATTAATAACTATTACTTATCCCACTCAGCTTCAGGAGAATGCACTGATCCATTTATGTACCCAGAGTGATATTCTAAATGTTCTAAAATAGCATGGGCAACTGGGTGATGGGCATTAAGGAGGGCACATGATGTGATGAGCACTGGGAGTTATACACAACTGATAAATTATTGAACGCTACATCTGAAACTAATGAACTAATGATGTACTATAAGTTGGCTAATTGAATGTAAATAAATAAATAAAGAAAGAAAGAAAGAAAGAAAGAAAGAAAGAAAGAAAGAAAGAAAAATAAAATAGCATGGGCATTAACCAATTAGAATGGAAGCTGGACATAACTTTGGAATACAATAACAATTTTTCCTCCTCATACCATGTTTCAATTGGGTGTTCTATGGACATCCTTCCTGTGATTCACAAAGTCAGGCTTCTCCTTCTAGTGGTTTCTCTTAATCATCTGCATCCTGCCAAGAGATGAGGAAAGAAAGTAAAAACATGAGGAAGAAATACTTGCTCTGAACCACCCTGACCTGGAGGTGATACACATCACTTCCACACATATTCCATATGCAAAAAAGAGTTATATGTCCCACCAAAATGCAAGAGGCATAAGAGGTACAGCCAGGAAGTATATTCAATGAGTACAAACCACTGTCTTCATCACATATACAATATATTAGAAGGTAAAAAGTACTATGGGATAAAAGTGAGCAAAAGTAAAAAGGATTTTGAGTGTTGGGAAGGAGGTCACAAATTTAAACAACTTGCTCAGAGTAAGCTTCATTTACCCAGTGACAATGGAGCAAAGTCTTAAAGGGGCATATGGGTAGATCCATACATGTATCTAGGGAAAGAACATTTCAGGAAAAACAGTCAGTTCAAAAGCCATGATGTGGGATATTATCTGGTAGGTTCAAGGAAAACTATGAAGGCTGTCATGGTCAGATCAGCATATTGTAGAGGAGGCCTGAAAACTATGGGGGGGGGTAGATTTTTATAAGCTGTTATAGGCTGAATGTTAGTGTCTCCCCCAAAATGTTGAAGCTCTAACTCCCAATGTGATGGTATTTAAAGGTGGGGCCTTTGGGATGTGACTAGGTTTTGATGAGGTCATGAGGGTAGAGCTCCCATGATGGAATTAGTGCCCCTCTAAGAAGAGAAGACACCAGAGTTTTTTCTCTCTGCCATGTGAGGATACAATAAGAAGCCCTCTGCAAGCCAGGAAGAGGGCCCTCATTAAGAATCAAATCTGTTGGGAGTGCCTGGATGGCTCAGTCAGTTAAGCATCAGACTCTTGATTTGGGCGCAGGTCAGGATCTCACTGTCATGAGATTGAGCCCTACTCAGTGTAGAGTCTGCTTGTCCCTCTCCCTCTGCTTCTCCCCTTGTTCATTCTCTCTCTGTCTCTCTCAAATAAATAAATAAAATCTTCTTTTAAAAAAAGGAATCAAATCTGTTGGTACCTTAATCTTATACTTCCCAGACTCCAGAACTATGAGAAATAAATGTCTATTGTTTAAGCCACTCAGTCTATGGTAGTTTGATGTAATTAACCAAGCTACTAATACATAATATACTGTAAGGCCTTTTGCTTTGACTCTGAAGAAAACAGAGGGCCATTGGTGGAATGTGATTTGAAGAGTGATATGATATGGGTTACATTTAGCAAGACTATTCAGACTGTCATTTGAGAATACACTAGAGTGGGGTAGGTATGGAACATGAGAGACTAGTTAGAAAACTATTACAACAGTCCCGATGAGGGATGATGGTAGACTGGACTGTGTTAGTAGCAAAAGAGATTGTAAGCAGATGCAAAATTCTGGATTTGTTTTGAAGGTGGAGTCAATGTATAAGCTTTCAGAGCTGGACAATTAGAAAGTGGGAGTCATCATTAACTGATATGGGGGAGACTGTGAGTGAAATAAATTTGGGGGAGAGCAAGACTAGAAATCCCTCTGTGGACATATTAATTTTAAAATATCTATTAGAGATCTAAATGGTGCTATCGAATAGTCAGCTGGATATATGATTCTAGAATGAGGAGAGAGGTCTGGGTCAAAAATATAAATCTGGCAATTATAAACACAGACGAAATTTAAGCCACGAGGCAGATGAGATCACCAACAGAGTAAGGAGAGAGAGAGAAAGGATCCAAGGTCTGAGGCCTGAGCCAAAGTAGTGTTAAAAGGTCAGGATAAATAAGACAAATCAGAAAAGAGGAGAGAGAGAAGATGCAGTAGTAATGCAGAAAGAAATCAGAAGAGTGTGGTATCCTGGGAACTAAGTGAAGAAAGAGTTCTCAGAAAAAAGGAATCCTTGACTGTGTAAAAAGCTGCTAATAGTCAAGTAAGATGAGGACTGAGAACTGGACTGAGCAGCCTGAGGCTATCTGTTGACCTTGATGAGAGAAATTTTGGTGGGATGTGGAGTGGCAACAGCCTGAGAAGAGTGAGTGTAGGGAGATATAAAGAGAGGACTCAGGGACCACAAGTGCAGATAACCATTTTGAGGACTTTTACTGCAAAAAAAGAAGCAAAGAAATCAGGCTGCAGAGGAGATTTTTATCTTAAGATGAGCCAATACCATGCGGTTCCCAATATATATCAATGGCAAGCTGCTTGAGACTGAAATATAATCACAGACGTACCCCAAGTCACACATTTCTTTAGATGGCAGTAATAGTAGCACAATTCTCAATTCTATCCTTGGTCAAAATAAATTATTTTGGTTTCCCTTCAATGATTAACTTAGAAAAATTCGTATTCAATCCTGCTAACAATTTAATACTTTTTAAACATATTCAATCAATGAATGCCTTCTCCTAGTTCAACTTAGTTACCACAATTATCACCTTGGTAAAGTGTGAAAGGTGTACTTATCCTTCTATCCCTTCCTGCCAAAATATGATACACACTAGTGCCTTCCCCTTTTTATTCTGAATCATCAAATTGTTTCTCTCCTTATCCTTTTGCTTCAAAGCAAAAAAAGATAAGTCTTCCAAAATTAGAAGACACACACACATTTTCAGGAGATGAATCCAAATCTAAAATCTCTGGTCACCCTTCACGCAGGACATCACTCTCAGCATCAGCATCTCTACCTGCAGACTTCAGGCAACAGAGAACAAGTTGCTTTTCAGAAGCAAGACGCTCCTCAAAAAAAGCCAAGCTATTCCACAGTCTTCCTTAGGAAGAGTTCATGTGGCAACACTGTGACATACTGTTGACAAGTTTCCATCAAACAGCACAGGGCTGAAGCTTTCCAGAACTGACATTAGCAGGACCAAGGGAAAAGGAGAGAGGTCAGTTAGTATTCACCTGTTTTCACACAGGTAAGCAAAATTTAACTTTCTGAGACATCTGTTGGATCCAGTATAGCAAAGAACTTTAGAGATTGGAAACATATAATGCAAATTTTAAAATATCCCTTTAAATAAACATTAAACACATAAATTAACTGTTTTGGTAAGAATGGCACTTAGGTGCCATTTGATAATATTTTTGATTATTTCAGTAATTGGTTACAAGTAAAAGTAATTAAAACAGAATGGGAGGTAATTCAATGCCTTTAATTGATCAAACATTTAATCAGAGCTTATAATGTACCAGATTCTGTGCTAGGGATACCAGGATGAAAAAGGACGTTTTTCTTACCTTTGAAGAGCTCACATTCCAACAGAAGAGACACAAATTTAAACAACGAAAATAGAATGCATAAAGTGTTCTAATAAAATATTAGAGACAGGTACAAAAAGATATAGAAGGAAAGAGCAGCTAATTCTGCTAAAGATAGTGGGGAAAACTAAAGAGAAGAGTTAATATGTGAAAGATAAAATTGTCTTTCTAGAGCTTGGGAGGGTTGGGGGAGGCCAGAAACACAGGTCAAACAATTTAAGGCAGGGGTATTGTAGTTCACTCAGGCTGATATACAAAAATACAATAGATTGAGTGGTTCAAACAACAAATATTTATCTCTAACTGTTCTGGTGGCTGAGAAGTCCAAGATCAAGGTCCCTGAAGATTTGGTATCTGGTGAGAGCCTGCTCCCTCGTTCATAGAGGGCTGTCTTCTTGCTGTGTCCTCACATGGCAGAAGGGTCCAGGAAACTGAGATTTCTTTATAAGGATATTAATTCCATTCATGATAGCTCTACCCTCATGACTTAATCACCTAACATAAGCCTCATCTCCAAATACCATCACACTGCATGTTAGGATTTCATGTATAAATTTTATGGGGACACAAACAAGGGATAATAGCAAAAAACATGTTAGGATTTAACATATGAATTTTGTGGGGACACAAACATTCAAGGGGTAACAGCAAAAACAAAGGCAGTAAATATAACATGGTATTTTCAAGATGGAAATATATAGTCAACAAAATTCTAGTAGCCTGTTTCTCAAAAACAAGGCAGTCAGAGCAAAAGATAGATTTTTCTTTCCAGAAAGTAGCTCTCATGACAATACCTGGAAGGTGGTCTATTACTGAACATGAGAGGGGGCAGATATGGAAGTGGCAAAGGAAGACCATCACCTTATGAGGAAACTGCTTGAAGAAAGAAAGAAAGAAATTTATCATCCTTGATTTTTCTCTTTTCCTCACTACTATCTTCCCTAGCATTATCTCAATTATCAGCAAGTCTTACAGTCGCACCTTTAAAGTATATCTCAATTCTCTCACTTCTCTCCATCTTCTCAGCTACCCTACCACTTCAAGCCACCATCATCATTCTCCTGGATTACTATAATCGCTAACCAGTCTCCCTGCCTCTTCTCTTGCTCCCTGACAATCTTATGTCCCCCAAATCCAGAGTTATCATTTTAAACCATGAATCAGATTATATTGTTCCCTGACTTAAAATCCTCCACCAGAATACAATTGCAATTAGAATAAAAATCCAAGTGTCTATTACTGTCTATATTAGGCTCCTATCCACCATCATCACTTATTTATTTTCTTTGCACAGAATCCTCTTTCCCATGCCTTAACATAGCCATGTTATTCAGTTTTCAGCCCAAATGTCACCCATGAAGGCCTTTTCTGATCACACTATCTAAAGTGGCTCCCTCTTTCCACTCTCTGCCCATTACTCTGCTATATTTTCTACAGAGCACTTATCACTATTTGAAATGATCATGTTTATCTTGAAAAAGTCTAAAATATTACGAGAATTACCAAAAGTGACACAGAGACACAAAGTGAGCAAATGTTGAAAAAATGGTACCAACAGACATGCTCAACACAGGGTTATCACATACGTTCAATCTGTAAAAACACAGTATCTGCAAAGTACAATAAAACAAAGCAGGTATGCCTGTATGCTTTACATCTTTCAGAGACAGATGTTAAGTGTCTTGGTATCTAATACCATGAAGACTTTGGCCTCAAGGCAAGTGAAAATAGGCCCCATTTATACAGGATACTAAGTAAAAGCCCTATTTGGAGACTTCCCCTTCCCA